GGGGAGGGGGGGGTTGGAAAAAAAAAGACCAAGGGGTGGGGGGGGGGGGAGGGGGTGGAGGTGTGGTGGACCACACCCTATTCTAAGGAGAATGTAACGTCACAAGGTTAGGTTAGAAGTGTGAATGAGTGATACCATACCATACCGATGAATCACCTGAGCGACACTTGGCTCTTGTCCGTTACCGGGTCGCGGGGGCAACAGTTGCCACCCAAATCACATTGCAACGTACCAACCCCCCCTGAACCTTCCTGCGGGTGGTGAGTCCACTGGAAGGTACCAACTGCCCTAACCGGGATTCGAACTTGCCCAGGAGGTGAACCCTGGGGTTACACACCAATGACAGAGACATTGATCTGGGCCTAAGCCCCACTCGATACCATAGCTATGGAGTGATAGTATCACCTGAGCGACACTCAGGTGATACTATCGGGGGTTCAAGAAACGTCTCCAAGAAACCTACTCCGTCCAGTTGCCCTCGATGTAACTATTTTTGGTCAACTATTGATTTGTTTTTAAGAACAATTGAAAAGAATGATCAAGAAACAAAGAATTTGCCAGCAGCCATTGAGTTGTGTCTGGGACCTTTTAGAACGTTCGCAGCCATTGAGTTGTGTCTGGGACCTTAGATTTAGAACGTTAGTGTGCAAGGAGAGAGGGGTGTGAGGACCCTTTGAAAGGCAATGAAGCACCATTTTGTCCAGAATCTATGACGAGTCTCAGTCATCCAGGTCATGTTATCCGAATCAGTTAAATCGAGGGCAGCTGGAATGACATAGATTCTTGAAAGTTTCTTCACCTCTTATCCAAGTAGTTATTGCGTTGACATTAAACGCGACAAAAGCTTGAAACACCTGTATTGCGCTGCTTGTTGTTTTTTCGATCATCGCTCCATTCGCGCTTAAAACGAAGTAACGAAGTAAGTCAGTAACATAATAAAACCATCCATAAATTCTTTTTTATTCAGGATAAACTTGTCGCTGATCGGATGCCGTGGCATGATGCGGCCAAATAATTCAACTTTTCCAACTTCATTTGCGCCAAGTCAGACGCTCATTCGCTTCATTTTTGTTGCCCAGTTGCGCGATGTTACAGTTTTGGATTGAGTCCAGAGGTACTTTGGTTTGTGTGCAGATCATTCATATATATTTTTTTGGAACGTCAATGACTCTTGTAGACTCACTGGACACAAACAGCGCTACACCGGGCGCTCCAGTACCATGTGATGCACCACTTTTTAATGCAGCTAGGTACTGGCGTACAACCATGTCATTTGAGTGTTCTATATGGTATCTTTAACATAGTGCTTATCAGCCTTGGTGGCCCGCGCTGAACAACTGGAATCCGTGTGGATTTCGCCTTCCTGGCTCAGGTCTGTTGTTGTTTTTGTCGGTTTTGATTTTATTTTAGGTGTCGGGCTGGGAAAGATCCCTGAGAACCATTCTTAGTGCAGTGGGAAGAATGCGTAAGGAACTAAAGAGACCACTGGCTCTTTTTTCCTACTCCTTTCCAGAGAAACCTAACATCATTCAGTTGAAATGAATAAGGAGCAAGGCATGAATAGTATTTATCTCAGCAGCTGTATAAATACTGTTGTTTTGATTCTTGCCACAGTTGATGAACAGATACTGAAAATAAGCTATTATGCCCGTTAGTATGACACAAATAAGATGTATTAAGTGTGACCTTAACTGTTAAAAAAAATGGAGGTTAAAGATGTTATGTTTATATATACTGTATATTTGCTTTAGCGAAAAAGCAATTTAACGAACTTTGTCGGAGAATAGTTGTAAAATATCTCACTCATAGTGTCCCTGAACTGCCTTCGCTTGCGGTTGTAGCCAGTTAAAAAAGACATTTGTGTACATAAAGCTGAGAACGGTGCGGCTCATGAAAAAAAAAAAAATAATACAAAGCTCAGGCAATCTGAGTCTCAAGGTTCCCTGGTATTTTAAAAAAAAATGTAAGGGAGTGTATGAATGTTCCCACAAGTTATTGGTGGTCAGTTTTATGGTCATGACTAAAAGCCTGCCTTTATCCTGCGGGATCTCTTTCTCTCCCAGAACGTGGTCTCCTTTGAACTGTACAGATGGAGATAAGGTTTTGTGCCTCTTTTTTTTTTTTTTATGTGAGCACTTGCACTTTGGCACAGAGATGCGGCGTAGCTAAAATTGTCGTGAAAGGAAAAAAAAAAAACATAATGAGACATTACCATTCGAAGTCCTTTTTATTACTAACGAGGAACATAATTCCTGATTTGTTAATCACTGTGTTGTGCTTCTATCCACAAAGGGGAGATGGTTATAATAATGCATGCATTTAATTTAACTCCTCTGTTGTCCTTTGGGTCAGGGTGACCCTGTTGCTAATAATATGCCTTTGTGTGCATGTGTGTGCTCCTGGACTGCACGGCTTATGCCAACTTTTCCTCATACTCATTTGATTCTGCGAAGGACAACGGGAGGGTTACAGTAGAGCTTTTATCGTTTGTGCTACATTCACTGTCTTTTATTTATGTTTTTTTGGGGGGAATGTTTTGCACAAGTGGCACTTTGGCCCAGAGGCAATGTCTCTGTCATTGTAGTGGAACCCCAGGGTTCACTTCCTGGGCAAGATCGAATTCCCGTTAGGGCAGTTGGTACCATCCAGTGGACTCACCACCCGCAGGAAGTTTCATGATGGGCTGGTACGGTGCAATGGGATTTGGGTGGCGGTCGTGGAGAGTGCTGACCCCGCGACTCGGTAATGGATAAGTGGATGAAAATGGATGGATGGATTCCACAAGTCTCCCAAGCACAAGTCAGACTCTTCTGATATTTGTATGTCTTAGATTATGATGTCACCACTGTGCTAGCATAGGTTCCGACTTATAGCGGAAATCGCAGTTATGCTGCCCCATAGGAATGGAACGAAGTAAAAATATGTCCAAATCATGTTATTAAATTCTATTATTATTATACTTCTGCCTATTCCCTGCAATGCCCGGATTTCTCCGCTAGCATAGGTTCCGACTTATAGCGGAAATCGCAGTTATGCTGCCCCATAGGAATGGAACGAAGTAAAAATATGTCCAAATCATGTTATTAAATTCTATTATTATTATACTTCTGCCTATTCCCTGCAATGCCCGCATTTCTCCGTAGATGGCGTAGAAAAGGCTTAAAGCATTTTAGGCTTTAGGGTTTTTACATGTCGAAATAGGCAGACATGGGCAGCAATGACATGAGTTTTAGCAGTTTTGTACAAGGATTATGTGTATACGGTTGACTATTGTAGGAGGTAGACTGACTCGGCAGCATTTCACTTGATTTTAGCAGCATCAGGTTCAGGGGAAGTGTTTAATATGTGCTTCTACACTTCATTAAGCACATTGAACATTGAATTCCATTATGACCTAGATCATTGTTTCTCAAAGACTGGGTCGTGACCCTCAGGTGGGTCGCAAGAGTTTTTTTGGGGGGGGTCGTCTTGCATCATGTTTCCCAGGATTTTACGAATAATGTCTATTGACTTGGGTTGGAAGGTTTGTGACTTTTAAAATTTGGGTCCCCAGAAAAAAAAGTTTGGGAAACACTGACCTAGATGATCAGTAAAAGCACTGTAGACAACATGACTGAAGAATGGATATGGATGGATATTTAGGCCTTCTGAGCTAGGAGGAGTTTGCCGCTAGGTGTCAAGCTAAATCTGCCTTTTAGTTTAACAACCTCATATAATTTTTATCTCCAACTCAACAAATCATTTACACTTCCACTAGATCACATTTAAATGATTTAGGGAGTTTTACATTGACTTCATAAGTTAAAGTAGCCCACGTCAGTGTTTCTACAATGCAGTCTTCTGCGGTGATGTCATTGTTTGTCATAACAGAGTTTTCTGGTTAGCAGGGTTGTGCCGACGCACAAAAATAGAGCAAATCACTATTTACCCTTTACCTAAATAATAAACCTCTGACATTGTCTCAACCCTTGGGTGGCACCGAGTTATCAATAAACATTGTCTGAGGTTCTTATAGCCCGTGAGTTTAGCTTCTTAAAGTCATGGACTAGCTGCCTTCGTTGCTGACTTTTAGCTAATGCTTCTTTTGGGAATGCCTGGCATTTTCTCTGTCAATGAACAGCCTATAGGAAACAAAATGACTAAATTACGACTTGTTTATATTTTTAAAGCATTATGAATTGGCCATGGAATGGCATGCTTGTACCGTTAGCATAGCACAGTACTTCTCAAATAGTGGGACAGGTCCCCCCTAGGCGCGGTGAGTTACCGGGGGGGTTCTGAGGGGCTTCAAATGGAATATGGATGTAAGTGTAACACTGCTATAATGCATGAATGATAACAAGCCTCCAGTCACTAGGTGGCAGCAACTCATGTACTGTTTGTACAGATATATAGAAAATATACATATTAAGAGGTTCTCAATTGTATTTCAATTTGCGGGGGTCTGGGTCAGGAGGGCACGTAGCGATGTGAAAACATGTCTGTCCCCATGGGGGCGTGATAGAAAATAATTAAGAACCACTAGCATAGCATAACAGCATCATGCTACTTCCAAAATGAAACTGACTTTTACAGAGAAGTGAGTTCGCATCTTCAGTTAAACAAGTTTACAGAGAAGTGAGTTCGCATCTTCAATTAAACAAGTCATTGTCATGTTACTATTTCATTTTCAAAATATTCTCATTATTGGCTCTAAACTCACAACACTATAATATGATTTTGAAAAAAATAAAACCACATGTATTGGTTGTCCTGGAAGAATTATTAGCAATACTCTGACGTATGTGACTCGACTGTGGCAAGTGAAGCAAAACAGCAGTGCCTAATTTTCCCTTAACTGGGGGCAGCCTTGGTAAAAATACATGTCTGCTGGTTTTTATGGTAATCCTGACATGTCCAAAATAAGATAGCTTTAAAGTCAGCCGTTTTATTTCAAACATGGCATTAAGCAGCAAAAAATACCAAACTGCACTCATCAAATTCACCACATCTCCGACCATCCATTCACCTCAGCGTCCACTGCTAAATTAACTGCAGAAATTGTTTAGCTCCACTGAGAGCGATTGTTCTGTGTCCTTGGTCTAATAGTCTGCTCTGCTTTTAGTGCTGTGTACTTTAACTATAAGGCTATGTTTTTTTAACGGGTTTCTTCTAGCACAGTAAAACCACTTTGCACATTTGCGACACCAAAGCCTTATCTTTTACTGGATACTTTGAAAAGTAAAACGCCGGGTTGAGAACAGGGTTTATGTCGTAATCACGGTATAAGTAGACGTTTATCCGCGCAACGTACACACCCGGATGATATAAAATACATCGTAACTTGTGTGTAGATACTGTCCATGTGCCATTTGTGTGTATACATAGCAACAGTATCTATGTTGTTTGGTCTATATAAAGTTTGAAGTAAAGACTTCAATGCCCCAAGGCCGAAATTAGTGTGAAAATTGTTTATGGACTGTTACGGTGATTGCAACGAGCTGACGTGTTCTGAAATTAGTAACCTTGTTTGTAACCTTGTGCAGTTTGTCAACAGGATTCAGACAAAATTAATTTTAAAGATTTGATTAGATTAATCAATATCTACCACTGGTGAATTACAAGTACTGGCCATTTAACAACTTTGATATGTATTTTTTAAATATTTTTACATATTTGTATATATTTATTTATGTATTAGTCATAATAAATTATAAATTAAGTAACGTAAGTAGTTTAATTACCATTCAGGGACAAAGATGTCCACTTGAAAACAACGTTGTAATATTTGTATTTTATAATCTTTTGATCAACTTCCGTTTCCATTTGGTAATCAGTTTCGGTACTTTATGAGAGGAAACAGAATTAATGTGAGTATCAATATATATATATCGATACCCCAGAATCGATACTCCCATCACTATTAGCCAGAAGGAAAGTGAAGGTAGAAAAAAGGCATCTGAAAGGAAGCGACATATATTGTTAAAAATGTCATAGGTTGGGGCTGGTAGCAAAGCGTTAGCATTTGCGTCATATGAAAAAATTGTTAACCCTCTCCAATCCCCCCTAATTTACTCTCTATTTTCGCTCTCTTTTCCTTAATGCACCCTGTACAGTGCTGCAGTTTATAACATGTCATTGTTTGCAGAACTAACCTTGGAGTCATTATCGTCTGTACGCCGGCAGTAGTGACTTGATGTGCAGCCCATATTCTGGTGCAGTTTATGAATTGCCTCTAACATTAACAGTTTTTTTATTTGGGTATGTTTATTTAAACATGAATGCCTTTGAGGTAAGATTCGATCATATTTTTTACAGTGAAACGAAAAACATTAAGCTATTGCTGACGTTGCTCATCTTTGGTTTGTCCACATACTGTATATGTTTTTTTTAAATATATATTTGAAACAACAAAATAATTCTAAAATTAGCAGAGGACAAAATATACTGTTGATTAGTGGTAAAGTTGGTTAATTCCCCGCTCGATGCTCGCTAACTTGCATATCCGACATGTAAGGAGTAAACGGCTTAGACCAGGCATGGGCAAACTATGGCCCGGGGACCGGATGCGGCCCTTTCAGCTTCTTAATCCGGCCCACCAAATTTTTCAAATTATATACTTTCCCTGCAATACTCATGTTTCCACAATAAATGGCGTAGAAATCTATTTTAGCCTTCATGCATGCCTTTGACATGTCATTTATCTTAGTTCACACGAACGCTCCATCGATCTGATCCTGACCCGGCCGCCCAATGTGGCCCGCGACTCAAAAAGTCCCACGTCGGGCTTAGACGTACAGGCTGAAGAGGCGCAGTTGGAAGCATAATTGTTTAGTTGGACAGTATCAAAGTAAACAGCTCACCCTAGCACATCCTAAATTTAATTTGTAAGTTTGCGTAACCATGCATTTTTGATCGTTTAGGCCCCTGCTGTAACTTACTAGGTGTGCAAAAAAGTATTGGGCAAGTTTGAATCCCAGTTAGGGCGGTTAGTACCTTCCAGTGGACTCACCACCCGCAGGAAGGTTTAGGTACGGTGCAATGTGATTTGGGTGGCGACTGCTGCCCCCGTGACCCGGTAACGGATAAGCGGATGAAAATGGATGGATAGATATTCCGTACCAAACGCCCTAACCGGGATTCGAACTTGCCCAGGAGGTGAATCTTCAGGGTTCCACACCAATGACAGTGCTTCAGGGCCAAAGTGCCACGCCAATGCACATAGCCCCATAAAACAGTATGAGTATGAACTTGAAAGTGCTTGAATACAGGATACTACGCGACAAAATTTTTCAATCTATCTCATTTTCATGAAGTTGTTTTACCAAAAAAAAAAAAAAAAAGTTTATCACGAACATATGTTCCAAAGTCAGTCACCCGTGAGGGTGCAGTCCTGCACTTGTTATGTTTGATTGGCTCAACAATATCATAGCGACGCCTGTTCTTTGATCTTGTGTCAGATAAGCTTGAGTTGTTTTTGTCATGCTCAGCAGCTGAGAAACTGAATGGACGACGCCCTCCTAATTAAGTGGAGCTAGAGCTACAGAGCCTGATGACGCTAAAGCCCTCTTTAAATATTGCACTGAGCCTTTATTTGTGGACCACTTATGTGGTTGTGAACCCAACAGTACACTTGTGAGATTGCTGTTATTTTGGCTCTTGCGGCATAAAAAATGAACTGCAGTGAATGTACAAAGACCAATAGCTTTAAAAAGTACAATTTCTTAGTTTTTAAAAACTCCCAAAAACAACACATATTTTGTTTTCAGACTCATTTATTTCCCACATTTTTAAATGTAACTGAACTTTTTCCGTTTTATGCTAGCATTCCTAGCTTTGGTCAGTTGGCGGGAGTGAAATTATGCTTGGGGGGAGGGGTGCAGATCAAATGGGCGACATCAAAAACAAAAAGCGAGAATTCAAAATACTGTATTCCTTTGCAATATTATTATCAGATATTCCTTTTACACCGCCTTCAACCGATCCGTTTTTTTTGCCAGTCTCTTGTTCAACATTTACGGCATTGGACAATATGCTGCGTTACGTTTCATTCACTCATTCCATCCACGCCCCTTTGCAATGGCACTGCACACCCTCTAGGGCAGTGTTTCCCAACCTTTTTTGAGTCACGGCACATATATATATCATCAGGAAAAACCTCAAGGCACACGACCAAACAAAAATATAAATATACTGTAGTTTAAATTTACTAAAAATGTACTCCTGTTTAGTTGGAAACAACACTGACATACTGGCAGGAATTGAGGAAAGACACAAAAACCTTCTTCAACAGCTCTGATTATCTCATTTTTAATAACCATCTGCTGCCACCTAGCGAAAGAGGGATTATTTGCTCTGCTTGTCACGCATTGACAAATAAAGAAAAAAATATTTACAATAAATAAATAATAGTTTCGAGACCAATTAAGTGACATAATAATTTTCCGCGGGGCATCTAATGATCACTCACAGCACACTAGTGTGCCGCGGCACAGTGGTTGGGAATCAGTGCTGTAAGGGTTGCGCCCCCCACTTTGGGACCCTCTGCATTAAACTATAACAAATACATACAATATTTTTTAGGAGAGGTATATTAAAACTCTAATATTTTTCTTGCTTATTTTTCATGATAAGACTAAATTAGCACCATCGTCTGAAAAAAAAAAAAAAGTTCCTTAGTCGATCTGAAACCGTTAAGCTTCCAGCTCTAAATCCAGTGTACAATGTACTAGTACAAAAAAAGAGATGGTTTGAAATCATCGGTCATTAGATGGCTTAACTACAGCCATAGTCTTGTTTTCAAAAGAAACGTCTTCACAAACAAACACAGTTACATAATTCGTACCTTTCAGACATTCTATGAGTAACTCCACACGCAGTTTGTGGGAGCGGACCCGCATGTGATCACATGTCCTACTGTAGCCCTAGTCTGAAACGGCAACACCGCGTCACGTTGTGAGACGTGGTCACTGTGACCACAGCAGGGAATATACTGTACATGTGGACTGGATGTGGACGTGTTTGTTTTGGCCTTATGTGCAGACGGATTCAAAAAGCCACTCCAAAAATTAGGCCGAGTCACAGATGTAAATATAAAACCCAGTATCAATGTTAAATTAAATCCAAACGATTCTACATGTTGAAAACTAAAGTTGTTAGGTCTTCGATTTTTAGCTGATCTGTTAAGGAAGCTTCCATAAACAAACAAACAAACAAACATAACACGTTTTATTACAAATACATGAATGTAGAAGTAACAAACCATAAACAATTAAATCAACATATTAATAAATTGCAAATGTAATTAATAACCTACATCATACCATGATTCAGGCATGGGCAAACTATGGCCCAGGGGCCGGATGTGGCCCGTTTTGCCTTTTTAATCCGGTCCGCCAAACTTCTCCAAATTATATTGTTAATTTATATTATCATTATATTTTTTCCTTTTCCCTGCAATACCACCTTCTCCCCAATAGATGGTGTAGAAAATGATAATGGCATTTTAGCCTTTATGCATGACTTTTACATGTAATTTATGCCCCCTGTTTAATGATGTTGAGATCAGGGATTTCTGG